TACAAGGGCTTAACGGCTCCAGGCTGAGACACAACAACCTTCACACACTTTCTTCTAACGAAACTGATCATTTTTAGCAGACTGTTCCTAACAAGCAACACAAAATAAACTCTTTAGGGCCTGCTATTGGAATAGGTTGGGTGGTGGTGGGGAAATTCGAAATACTGGTGGTGGGAAGGCGTACTGGTTGTGAGATTGGTGTTGGAATATTGAATGTAATAAGTTATCACAAACAGCTTTGTAAAAGTAAAGGAAAAATTTAAGAAAAAAAAAGAAATTGGACGGAGCCGGAGGGAGAGTTACAGCGGAAGGCCGCCTACGCCGCACGCAGCCAAGCCAGGGCGATCCGCAGCACCCCACGAGGGGCGACCTGTGAAGGCAGAGACAGGAGTGAGCCCCAACTATGGCGAGGTGTGGCCCAAAACAGAAAAGAAACTGGATGTGCCGGAACCTTGAGCGTGCGGCCTTCCAGATTTGGGGCACAGGGTGCGCAAGCACTGGCTTTTACTAAGCGCTCCTTTCTCTTTCCCTGAGGGGCTCACACAGGCGGGCAGAGGAGCATCCGCAGCCCTTCGCCGCAGCTGTCCGATGTTCTGCCTGATTGCCAACCACATCGCCGTGGGGCCAGAGACAGACCGGCAAGGCACTTGCTGTGCACGGGGCAAACCCCGTGAGGGCTTCGGCACCACACAGGTCTCCCAACAGATTCCTGAGGAGACGCAGGAGTTAAACTGTGAGCACTGCCAGGCATGGCACCCAACTTGTTTTTTATGATAAAGAAAAATTTAAAAAGGGACTAGGGGGGCTGGAGCAATAGCACAGCGGGTAGGGCGTTTGCCTTGCACGCGGCCAACCTGGGTTTGATCCCCAGCATCCCATAGGGTCCCCTGAGCACCGCCAGGAGTGACTCCTCAGTGCAGAGCCAGGAGGAACCCCTGTGTATCGCCGGATGTGACCCAAAAAGCAAAAAAAAAAAAGGGACTAGGTATTGCTTTCTAGCAAAAACCACTAAAAGAAGTTGGGGCCAAAGCTGGGTTCCAGGTTTTGGAAGGGTTAAGCGAAAGCTCGGGAACCAGGAGCAGTGTGGACTCCCACACCGGCACCAGGGCACCCAAGGGTGCGAGTGCTTCTGAGATCGGACGGGGTGGGCACAGGACTCTCAGGCCGGAGAGAAGACAGCAGGCAGCCCAGGCACCACAGACAGCACCCCGAGCCCTGGCAGGGGAGACCCCTCGAGAGGACCAGGAGTAAGCCCTGAGAACCACAGACCTAGTATGGCCCGAAAAACAAAAACAAGAGCAAAGCCAACTCTGGGAGGTGAGTGAGACAGGCGGTGGGGGAGGAGCCGGTGACCAAGAGATGACAGAGAAAAGGAACGGAAAAGCGGGCCGGAGAGACAGTACTGGGGAAGGCGCTGGCTCCAGAGTGATCTCTGAGCAGTCCGGGTTCCTGACTCCCGCTGGATGTGCTCCCAAACCCCCCGCCCCCACCAGTTGAAAGTAATGAAAGGAGCAAGGAGAGAGGCGAGAGGCAGGCGGGGAGGCCAAGGGGGGGAGCAGAGGGAAGGGCAGGAAATCAGAGCGCAAACACCGGCCCAGTAACATCCCCGAGGAAGCAGAACGAGGGGAGCAGAGCAGCAGTGCGGGAGGAAGGAAGCGCCTTCTGGGGACGCAGGAGAGAAGGACAAGCCCCGCCCAGACGTTGCCCAGGCCAGAGATTTTTCTAAGAACCTGCCACCCGAAAACCCCCAAGGGTCTTGACAGCCTCCAGAGATGTGGCCTGCTGACCGTGCCTGAGTCACCAGCCAAGGGGTGGCGGGAGCAGCATCGCAGCATCAGCTGGGGCACCCCCCCCCTTGCAGGCCAAATCCAGAACAGAACGTGCTGCTGAGAATGCCCCCATGTTACAAGTTCTCTTAGTGTCACTCTTATTTTCACAGGAAAAGTTCTTAGAACACGTGAGGGCTCTTCACATACAAAACCTCTCCTGAGAGGGTTAAAACCATCATGCCAACACTAAATCTCTAAACTGCTGGTCAGGCCGGAGGGAGGCACCACTGGGCGTGGCCCCCACAACCACAAAGGCCAAAACTTGTGGGAGCAGCGGCAGGGCTGAGGGGCCAGGCTATGCCTGTGCTCAGCACGACACCAAGTGCCGCTCTGCCCTGAGTCACACGGGTGAGGGCACGGCAGGCAGGGGGTGCCACCCCTCCAAGATGTGATGCCCGAGCGACGATCCGAGTAGGACCTCCCCACAGAGGGGCAGGCTTGGGCCCTGGCAGCAGACCCAGGCTCCAGACCTGGGCGTGCACCCCTGCAGCACGGTCAGCCAGCGGCCCAGAAAGACCACCAAGAGCAGAAGCGGAGCCCTTCGGCCAGCATGCAGACCGCAGACTACAGCTGGCCCGGAGGAGAACGCAGAGGCGGGATCCACCCCACCAGGACTTGTCCCAGAGAAGCCCAAGCCATGGACAAAGCCAGCCGTGAGGCGCCGCCCCCCGCCCCCCACTAAGCGCTCAGAAATGAACGCTTCAGCAACCACTCTCCTGTGCGTCTTCTCAAGAGCCCCCTGGCAGAGTAGCCCGCTGAGGCTGCTCCCGCGTGTTCCAAGCAGGCACTTCCTGTCCGGAGAGGCGGCGGGCCACCAGATCAGACCCCACCTGGTGCACCACCCAAGGGTGGCACTCCGAAGGGCATTCGCGCAGGGGGAGGCAGAGGGGCACAACACACAAGCCAGCTCAGCACAAAGGAACAAAGATCTGAAATAGACACAGACAGTCCAGCACATCTGATGAGCAGATCACAGACGGGGCAGTGGCCCACGGACCCACAACTGACACCTCTTCGAGCAGGCTCAAGGCCAGCCCTGGCTTCGGCAGACAGAAGACATCCAGCGGAGGACACGGGGCTGGGAAGTGACTTCAGGGGACAGGATTTCTGCTAGGGTGATACAAGCGGTTTATAATGAACTCCGTATCTACTGAGTGTATCACTGAGCCGCACACGCTCAGAGGGTGGCTTTCCCACTGTGGATGCGAGCACGCTCCACACAGCACAGCACTCCTTACCCAGAGGCAAGATCACACAGGAAGCTGAGTGCAGGCTGAGCAATGCAGGAGGCCCAGCGCCGCATGGTCCCAAGAACTGCTGGCAATGATGCCGCCGAAGCACTGAGCTGGGAGTAGTCCCTCAATTCTGCCAGGGGTGGCCCCAACACGGGAAAGGAAGGGAGGAGAAAGTAAGGACAGAAGGGAGGGAGGGAGGGAGGGAGGGAGGGAGGGAGGGAAGAAGGAAGAGAGAAAGGAAGGGGGAAGGAAAGAGGGAGGGAGAAAGGGAGGGAGGGAGAAAAGGGAGGGAGGAATAAAGGGAGGGAAGGAAGGGCGGGCGGGAAGGAGAAAGGGAGGAAGGGAAGGAGGGACAGAGAGAGGGAGGGACAAACTTGGCCCCAGAGGTCGGCCTGTATCTGAACACAGGCCAACAGCAGCATCTGAAACCAACAGGCCACGTGGCCTGGGACCACCGGCGTATTTCCCGGCCACAACTCCCCGGACCTCCAGCAACACTAGTCAAGTAAAAACGCCTGGTTCACATTCCTCCATGTTTAAACTTCTACAAACGCTCAAAGCAATTAAGATTTTTGGGGGGATGGGGGTCCCTCCTGGGGGTGCCGGGGAACAGCCGCTGCACTCTGCAGACCCAGCAACAGGAATTTCAGAGTAACCATTTGGAGGAGCCATTATAAATAACGACATCAGAAAACAGAGTTTCCAACAGCAGCACTTGAAATAAAGACAAAAAAAAAAAACCAAAAGAAAAACCCTCGAAACCGCACAGGGGCCACAGGAGGGCTCTCGAGGACAGGGCCTGTCACGGGAGGGACTAAGCCGGGAGGCGCTGAGCACCGAGGGCTGGGGCCCCCAAACCAAGGACGCGAGCACCATCTTCATCTCTTGAAGATGAGGCAGTCTCTAACCTCAGAGTTCTGAACAAAAACACAGCAGCGGTTCAATCCCCACATCCCATACATTCCCGAGCCAGGAGTAGATATGTAGATACGCACACGCATACACACACATATACGTACACATCCCATTGGTTTGGGGCCACACCCTGAGCATCGCGGGGCGCGGCGCAAAACCAATCACATACATGTGTGCACATGTGTATAATGTATGTGTGTATATGTATCTGCTTACGAAGGAAATGCAAACAGCTTTAATTAATGGGACTGTGCTCCCCCAGACCCGCAGGATTTCTCTTGGGTTTTTTTTTTCCGGCTTTTTGGGTCACACCCGGCAATGCTCAGGGGACCATATGGGATGCCAGGGATCAAACTCAAACCCGGGTCGGCCACGTGCGGGACAAGCACCCTACCCGCTGGGCTATCACTCCCAGCTCCCAGGATTTCTCTTCGCGCCAGACCTCAAAACTATGGCGGCCAAACAGGAGACACATCTCACACCAAGCACCCAAACATGGAGCGACGCTGGGTCTCGACTTTAAAGCAACAAAGGGCGGTGGGGACGATGGGATGTGAGAAGCCGGGTCGGGGCAAAGCCAGATCAGCTCGTCTGCTCTGAAGCACAGACAGCGGGGCTGGGGGGAGGCCCATCCCCGGGATGGAGAGGGGAGCTGCGGGAGGGACTGGCCAGGAGGGATGGGGAGGCGGCAGATTTTTGGTCAGCGAGAAGGTATCTCTGGGGGTGGAGTGCGGAAGGCTCAGGAGTCCCTCCTGGCGGTGCCGGGCCGAGGCCAGCGCCCTGCCGCCCGCCGGGTCCGCGGGTAGCAGCGCCCGACCCGGGGCGGGCAGCGCGCTCTGGAAAGCAGCACGGGGCGGCCGCTGAGCGCACGCTCGAAAGCAGCCCGGCTTGCGGGGAAGGACGGATTCCTTCCTTCGGCACAGACTCCACCGTCCCCGGCGCCCGCACACCGCGCACCGCACCGCACGCACGCGCACGGGCAGGGGTCTCCCGGGCCGGGCCGGGCGGGCGCGCACCGCACCTTGTGGCAGGCCGGGCAGGTGGGCAGCGCGGGGCCCTTGGCCGGGGGGCCGGGGCCGCCGCCGCCGCCGCTCAGGCTGCTCTGGATCTGCGTGAGCTCCTGGCGCAGCACCTGCTTCTGGTGGAAGCTGAAGGCCGGGTGGTTGGAGGCCATGGTGAAGAGCAGCAGGAACTCATCGCCCGTGCGGCCCTCGTTGAGCTGCAGCCCGTAGTTGTGGATGATGGAGTCGATGTGCGTGAGCGTGCGGTAGAGCACGCCCGCCGCCTCGCGCTGCTCCGAGCCCAGCAGCGCCAGCGAGACCAGCAGCTTGCTGCGCACCACCTCGTCCGTGAGGTTGGTGAGGCTGCCCAGGTCGGCGGGGTTGTTGGCCTTGATCTCCGAGTCGCGCAGCGAGTGGTAGTCCTTGCGCGCCAGGTCCTCGAGGCACGAGCCGAGGAAGCGCAGCTCGAGCGGGATGCACAGGTCCAGCAGCCCGCACAGGAACTCCACGCGCTGCGGCGACGGCAGCCCGGCGAACCAGCGGTACACGCCGTCCCTCTGCAGCGGGCAGCGCTTCTCCACCATGCTGCCGCCGCGCGCGCCGCGCCCGCCCGCGCCCCCGCCGGCCCGCGGCCGGGGCCGGGGCCGGGGCCGGGGCCGGGGCCGGGGCCGGGCGCGCGGGCGGGCGCGGGCCGGGGGCGCCGCGGGCCGGGGCCGGGGCCGGGGCGGCGCGCGCGGGCCGGGGCCGGGCGAGGCCGGGCGGGCGCGGCGGGGCGCGGCGGCGGCGGGGGCGGCGGCGGCGGCGGCGGCGGCGGCGGGGGCGCGCGGCGCGGGCGGGACCCCCGCCAGGGGCCGGCCCGGGGGCGGCGAGCGGCGGCCTCGGGGCGCCCCCTCAGGCGCAGGCGACCGGCCCGCGCCCGTCCCCGGGTGCGCGGCAGCGGCGGCGGCGGCGGCTCCTCGTCGGCGTCGGCCTCGTCGTCGGCGTCGGCGGCGTCGGCAGCGGCGGCGGCGGCGGCGTCGTCGCCCGGGAGGCGGCCGCCCCCATCGCCCCCCGCGCCTCAGGCTCCGTCACTGCGGGCCGCCCCCCGACGGAGCCGCCCGGGCCATGCCGCCGCGCCGCCGCCGCGCCTGGCGGGCCGGGCCGGCCGGTCCCCGGGGAGGCCGCGGCGCCGGGAGCGGGCGGGTCGCGCGCGCGGGCGGCGGCGGCGGCGGCGGGTCGCGCGGGCGGCGGCGGCGGCGGCGGCGGCGGAGGGATCCGGGCTCGCGCTCGGCTCGCGGCGGCGGCGGACGGATCCGCGGGGCGCTCGCTGCTGCTGCCGGGCGCCGGGCCGGAGCGAGTGGGCGGGGCCGCCGCCTCTCGCGACAGCCGCGCCGCCGGCCCCGCCCCCGCCGCCGATTGGCCGCGCGGCCGCCCCCGGCCCGCGATTGTGCCGCGGCCCCAATCCGGCGCGGCCCCGCCCCCCGCGGCCGCCGCTCGCTCGCGCGCGGCGCCGCCCCCTCAGGGGTCCGGCGGGGGCGCGGGGACGGGCGCGGGCGGGGCGGGGCGGGGGGCGAGCGGAAAACCCGGGCCGGATCCCGCGGCTTTTGTTCGCGCGGCGCGGCGCGCCCGCGCGTGGGGCCGCCGCGCGCTGCGTGACCTTGGCGCGGCCGCGCGGCCTCTCTGGGCCCGGGGCGCGGCGGGGCGCGGCGGGGCGGGCGGCGGGATGCGGCCGCCGTCGCCCGTCGCCGCCCGGCCCGGTCCCGCGCGCGGGGACCCGCGCCTCGCCCCCGCCCGCCCCGCCGCGCCCCGCCCCGCGCGGGTGAACCGGGTCCGAGCGCCGGGAAGCCGCTCCTCAGAGCATCCCCGGGAAGCGAGCGCGCCCGCCGGGCCGTGACCTTGCCGCGCCCTCGGCCGGGCCTCAGTCTCCGTCCGCAGCGGCCCGAGGGCGCCCCCGCCCCCGCCCCCGCCCCACTTCTCGGGCGTGGCGCGGGTCCGGCCGGGCTGTCGCTCTCCGCGGCCTGTCCGAGCCGCCTCGCGCAGCCGCCCCCAAGGGAGACCGGGACGACCGAGCCCGTCGCCCCGGCCCCGCCCCCCCAGAAGCCCCGGTCGGCGGGATTCTGCTCCCGTGGGGCCCCGCTCTGGCGCCCAGGGGCCGGCGGGGCTCCCTCGTCCGTCCCGGCGCGCTGCGGTGGCGGCCACTCGGCTTGGCTCTCTGCGGGGTCGGGCACGCACCGGGCGCTCGCTGCCCTCCGAGGACAGGCCGCTGTGACGGTGGCGGCCCTGGCCGGCCCTCGGCTCACCCGGGCTGCCCAGACCCAGAGCCAGCCGCTCCTGCTGCGCCGGTTAGGGCGGCCCCTCAGCGGGCGGGGGTCCGCGCTCGGCCCGAGTGCCGCCGTCGTCCCCCGCCTGGCTTTCCTCTGCTCGAGGAGCGCCCTGACAGGAGGCCCACGGAAGCGGGGCCCTGTGGCACCCGGTGCTGGCGCGACCCCGTCTTGCAGCCCAGACGGTCCACCGCGGGCCGGTGTGGGAGCCGATTCAGACCTCAGGCCACGGCCCAGACTGTCCCCACCCAGAGGGGCCCCCAGCACTGGCATCACAGGTGCCTAGACTGCCGAGTGGGCAGCGCATGTTCCTGCCCACGTCTGTCCAGGTCAGAAGCGGGTGGTCAGACACATGGCCACGCGCCTCGGGCCTGTTCTGACACTGGAGGCTGCTTCCCGCTAGGCTCACCAGGGCTCTCATTCTTTTCCTTTTTTTTGTTTTTGTTTTTGGGTCACACCCAGCGATGCACAGGGGTCACTCCTGGCTCTGCACTCAGAAGTCACTCCTGGCGGTGCTCGGGGGACCATATGGGATGCTGGGAATCGAACCCGGGTCAGCTGCGCGCAAGGCAAATGCCCTACCCACTGTGCTACCACTCCAGCCCCTGGGCTCTCATTCTTGATGGGGGAAGGGGGCATTGGACCCAGGGCTCCGTCCCTGCCCACATGGGCATCTGAGCCAGGACTAACCCCCAACATCACGAGTGTGGCCCCCAAACAAATCCTTTTCAACCTCTAAGTGTTCAGGACCAGGATGGCGGCTCAGAGGGCTGGAGCAGGAACTCGGCATGCAGGAGCCAGTTCAGTTCCCGAGTACCCCAGGCAAGGGTCAAGGTCCCAAGAAGTCAAAACTAAAAGCAGATGCAGCCTGTGCCGTGACTCGTGACTCGGTGGTAGCTGTCCTCCCTCGGGTGTGAGTCCCTGGGTTTCATCCCGGAGTCCAGAACAGGAGAAAGAAGCAGGTTCCTGAGCCGACCAGCAGCCAACGACTGGCTCCCTGCAGTCTCCAAGGCGCCAACTGCTGCCTCAGTGCCTCGGGTGTGTCTGGACAGGACCGAGGCTGCCGCTGCAATGCCCCAGGCCACCAGGCAAGTGGCACTGCGCTGCTCTGGTCTTAACGTGTGACCTGGCCCACTCCTGGTGGTGCTCCAGGGACCATGTGGTGTCAGGGAGTGAGCCTGATGCTCCCGCGCGCAAAGTTCACTGGACGGAGGGTTCGCTCCCGACAGCCTCCGGCCTCATCCCTGCTGCGTGCTTGCTCTCCCGTGTGGCTGCTCTGAGCCCCGATCGCGCCTGTCGGTGGCTACTGTCTGTTCTGTGGGCTTCGTGTACCTTTCCCTGGGAGTTTCCAGTGCACCCTAAGTCAACAGAACAGGGTAGTCTCCTGCACCCTTGGCTCCCTCCTGCAGACCCTCCTCCCTTTCCTCTTCCTGCCCTGCCCACTCCCTTCACGATTTCTTCCAAAGGGTGTGACACCGCAGGGACACATGAAACAGGTCCCCTGGCTCCGCCGTGCTAACCTGTGCACACAAACTTCTCCACACTTTCAGATTCCTGTGATCTCTACCCCCTGGGTTGTACCAACTCAGCACCCTTCGTGGAAACAGAAGTGCCCCCAGTGCAGGCTCTGCCCTGAGTCCCGTGGTGGGAGGCGTGGCTTTCTCCGTCCCGCACGTGCAGCTGGTCTCTGGGCACCCTGGTTAGGTTACAGAAGGCAGCTCCTCTTGCCCTGGACTTTGCCCCATGCCGAGACCCAATCGCAGGGGCCCCTTGCTCTGTGTGGGTTTAGATGGGCAGGCGGGCAGGGATAAGGCCCGGGAGCCACCCAGCGCCTTTGCTATCGTGAGCTCACAATTTGGTATGAGGTCTCCGCACGCCCAATCCAATGCACGTGCCTGCAAAGGCAGAGGACTGACCGGGGGACCCTGAAGGGTGTCTGGGTGCGTCTTCTGTTCTGAGGCGGGTGATCCTTCACTTGCCTGCGTTCACCAGATGAGTAGGCGCTCTGCCCAGAAGGAGCACTTGCAGGTGGAGTCTGCAGTCTGATGGGACATTCCTGCATTAGGCCACGCCCAGCGATGTTCAGGGCTGACTCCTGGCTCTGCGCTCAGGGCCACTCCTGGTGGTACTTGGGGGACCCTGTGCATTGCCAGGGACTGGACTGAGATAGCTGCATTGGGGGCAAGCACCCTGCCCTCCATACTCTCAGACACAATGTGTGTGTGTGTGTGTGTGTGTGTGTGTGTATATATATATATATATATATTTCTTTTTAATTGGGGGACCACACCCAGTGGTGCTCAGGGCTTACTTTGGCTCTGTGCTCAGGGTCACTCCTGGCAGACTTTAAGAACCATTAAATGCTGGTGGATGTCGTGAATTGAACCCGGGTTGGCTGTGTGCAAAGCAAATGCCCTACCTGCTGTATTATTGCCCCAGTCCCACATTGTGTGTATAGTCCAGCGGCCTTTGTGCTCCTGCTGTGGAGGCTTTCCCACACATGAGGCCACCCATGGATGTATGGGCTTAGAGGCACCAGAAGTTTGACACAGGCAGTGCCAACCTCATCATGTAAGCGTCACCCCTTAGCTCAAGGGCTATGTTGTCCATCACCGTTTCCCTCAGAGTATTTGTATGTGTCCATCATCCCTTCCCTCAGAGTGTGTGTGTCTATCACCCCTTACTTTAGGGTGTGTGTGTGTCTATGACTCCTTATCTAAGAATATATGTCCATCACCCTTTTACCTCAGACCGTGTGTGTGTGTATCCATCACCCCGACCTTAGAGCATGTGTGTTTTTGTTCATTACCCTTTCACCTCAGAGGATGTGTATGTGTGTCCATCAACCCTGATCTTAGAGCAAGTGTGTTTTTATTCACCCTTTACCTCAGAGTGTGTATGTGTGTGTGCGCACATGTGTGTCCCTCACCCTTTACCTCAGAATATGTATATGTGTCCCCATAACCCCTTACGATAGCACAGCGGGTAGGGCGTTCGCCTTACACGCGGCCAACATGGCCGACCCGAGTTCGATTCCTCCGCCCCTCTCGGAGAGCCCGGCAAGCTACCGAGAGTATTGGATATGCCAGACACAGTAACAACAAAGTCTCCAATGGAGACGTTACTGGGCCCGCTCGAGCAAATCGACGATCAACGGGAGGGCCTTTACCTTTACCTTTACCTAACCCCTTACCTCAAAGTGTGTGCACTTCTGTCCATCACCGTTTATCTTAGAATATGTATGTGTGTGTCCATCAACCCTCACCTCAGGGAGTGTATGTCTATTACCACTTACCTCAGAGTGCATGTCCATCAACT